ACTGTTGTCACGTTGGGCTGCCCAGTACATCACCCTACATGCAATGTCTCAAACTCAAGACTCAGTTTTTCTGATTTTGTGCTTCTGCAAAGAATAGCCGGCAGCGAAAAGCAGCAGAGCCAGTGCACCAATGGGCAAAGCTGGACGTGTAAACCTAAGAGGCCTCGGATTCCCTTTCACTCGCAAAGGATTCGCCTTTTGCTGCGCGAGTCCTGTGATCAGCTGCACTGGGCTGTGGCCATGGCTCTGGAGGAGACAGTGATGTGAACTTAGACACACATGACTCACGAGTACTGGAACGAAAATGAGTATTTGGCCATGAGTCACAGCTGCGAGTGGAAGCCGACAGGATGGAATGTCACTTCTTTCCTTTGCTGTGGGTCTTTATACTCTTCACCGCAGCAGGGGAGCTTGGACGGAGTCGGAGATTGTTGGAGAGGTTCTGAAGGGTCCCCCCACGAAGCTAGAGGCAGCTAGAGAGTGCTAATGAAACTCCTAAGACTGCAGATTGATCACTATTGCAAATCATCAGCAACCGTTGAAATCCAAAGAGTTCTGGTTACATTGCATAGTCAGTCTATAGTCTATAATGAAGAAAGCCTTTGTTTGTTTTTAAAAGACTCTGCACTGCGTAAAGCCGCTGTAGCTTGTTGAGTTGTTGTTGAATGCTGTTATCCTCAAGGGAACACTAGTGCAGGAAGCAACATGGGTCTTTGGTGTACGTCAGCAAGCTTGGTAACCCTTGTCATACGACGTACGATCCAGTATCCTGTTCAGATAATTTCTTATACCGTGGCTGCTGCACAAAACCAAGGCAACGGTGCTCCACTCGCCATGCTGGCAAAATCTGTTGCCTCTCATTTGGAGGCTCCCCTGCAGAGCCTTGTGAGTTGAGTATTGAACGAACCAGACATTCTTTCCGTGGCTTAAGACTGCTGGAGCCATGCTGACAGGGCGCAGCGGCCAGCTTTGCTTCCACATCAGCTTCAGAGGCAGAGTTGGTGCATGGATAGGCTCTTGCGTCAAGACACCTTAATTAGTTTTTGTCAGGGAACCTGGCTGATCGCAAAGGGATCAGATAAGTCTTGCAAGCACAACGTTTGTCAGCTTTGCAAAGCAATACCTTGCAGGACGGGGAAGAAGGTGAAAAGCGCTTTAGGCCTTCAGCCGGGAGAGAGCTTTGCAGTCTAGTTATATACTAGTTGCGGAGGTCTTTTCCATGGTTTGAGCACTGAATGACTACGTTCATTCCATTCGCTTGTGCATTCATTGCTCATCATGCTTGCAACATGGCCGGAAGTGCAAACGGCGGTTGACGTAAACCGGGGTTCACGCAAATGTTGGTCTGTGCAAAAACCTGTTTGTGTACAAGCCTGGCGGAGGAGAAAGTTTCCTTGGCATATAAAGGTCATGGGCCATGCAAAAGCCATGGCAAAAATGCTAGGGAAACCATGGAAAAATGACGCCAAGCGCAGGCAAACACTTAGGCGACACACGTGCAGAAGCACAAACAAAGGCGACGAAGAGAGGAGCAGGATAGGAGGAGGACAAGGACCACAACGAAGACGATGCCGCGACGAAGAGGACGACGAAGACGATGACGCGGAGGAGCAATCTAGCGTAGACGATGAACAACATAAGTGCTAGGAGAGAGCAAACAAGAATACAAGTACAACAACATCCATCAAGCACGCTGGCAGGCCGGCGGATTGGACACCTTTCATGACCTCTGTCCATGCTTTTGGCTAGAATCTTTTGTGCTTTGAAGTTTCCTGTGTGGGGCTGCCCATTCGTGCTTGCAGTGCTTGCAGGCTTTTCAGTGTGGCGCTCTGAGGGATCTCATTACGCTTCAAGGCGACAGGGAAGACTATACGCTCGGTGAGATGTTCTTCTTGGATTTTTCACGTCATGAGTAGAAACGTTTCGTAGTCATAGTCGTTTGATCTAGATCCTACATAGCCTTTGCCAGCTTGTCACCAACAAGATTCTGCATTTAAGGTAGAGACATTGAACCAGACTTGGAGTCTCAAATGCAAGTCAAAATGAGCTTCAGCACCATAATGCCTCAACTGCTTGAGCTGTTTTATCAGGCTTGAGATTATGAACGGTTGCGTAGACTGGCTTGCTCAAACGTTTTTTTTTTTCAAAGTCTTTGGCTCTATGTGAATGAACATACAACCCCTTCAGATGGTTGTCCGGTGAAATCTAATTTCATGGCATCCCAGTTACTTCTCAAAGAACGCCGAAACCAACTCCGAATGATCCTGGGGGGTCGTGGAGCAGCAAAACTCCACAGACAGGATAGGTATTGCACTAAAAATGTGCAAACAGATGTGACGTTCAGGTGCTAGGTGATTTCTCCCAAGCGATGTTCCCTGTCAAGGTGCGTGGCAGCGTGACCTGGAGTGAGCAGCCCGGGGGAAAAGAAAGAAGGCCTCGGAGAGTATGGAGGGATTGGCCAATCAACATCAATCAACTATTATATAATTATGTATGCAGTTCTGTTCCACCTGTACTGAAGAAACGCTTGATAGGTAAGAGTTAAGTCTGAGTTCACTTTACCTCAATGCAAGCTTTAATTTTCAGTGATTCTGGCTTTGGGGCGTGAGGAATGCATCATATCCGATGTATCCTCACTTTTCTTCAATCAGGCCATACCTCGGTTGGTCCAGTTGGGGCCAATCAGCTTTTCTTTTCTCGAGTCTCGGGCTGCTCTCGATAAAGATTCCATTTGAGTGTTGCAACGCTGTGGCGTCGCCGGTTCCAAGCGGCAGAACGAATACATTCCGGCTGTTGCGGGTGCAGCTTGTGTTATAAGGCCAACCGGATGATGTGGACTTGAGAGCCACTGGTGGCCTTGAAACAGAATGACACAACACCGTCATCGTCCCTGAAGCACAGTTCTCGCAGAAACATTGCTTTTTCAATGTTGCCTCTTTGTTTGTTTCAAGTAGGAAGCTTCTTAGTTGGCCCTTTGGTCATGTTGGTCATTGTTCTTTCGGAATCTACACAAGCCGCCTCAACGAGCCATCTTGAGGATGTTTCAGTTTCCGCTGTCTCTCGAGGATGGGCACCAGGATTTTTGCAGCAGTGGCACTCCGGATATTTTGTTTCCAAGTCTCAGATCGATCAAACTCGGGGCAGAGTATACATCCTGGCTCGAACTGGCTCTGGACGTCGCTGAAGTAAATGGCTCTTTCGGTGGTGACAACCACCAAGAGATGTCGCCGTGATGGGCCAGCTGGAGAGAAGATTCAGCTTGGATCTCTGAAAGGTTTCGGCTTTTCGGCCCGTCGGAGAGAACGAAGAGGGATAGACCCGGATCGTAGCTGCTCACTTTGATGTTTGGTATACAGAAGGAAAGAGAAATGCCTCGAGGTCTTCTCACATCAAGTCCTGCGTCATACTTTTGTAAGCTCACAGGCAAGAAGGAGCACAGGTACCAGCTCACAGGTGGTCTTTGGTAGATCACTCTATGATAATTCTCGGGGACTCGTAAGGCCGCGGTGTTGCAAACTGCAGTGGAAGGCTACGCAACAGGCAACAGGCAGCATATTTCAAAAATGCATTCAGATTAATCACCAGTCCGCCAAATGTGCTCAGCAGATTCATCCGCCAAATGTGTACGACGTACTCCGATGGGAGAGAGCGTCAATCTCGGCGTGCGAAATACTGGGGATCCGCCAGTGGTGGGTCGATGGTGCATGGGTCCGGGTGTATTCGACATCTTGTTTCTGTCCAATTCGATCATCGAAGAAGTGCTATGCGACGAATGTGTTCCCTGTGACGAAGGCATTTTTCATCCAGGAATCCGATCCCGAAAAACGCGTCCGTGTTCGTTTGATATTGAAGGAATACCGAAAGGCTCGGTCTAGCTTCTTGACTGGGCACGGACATCGTTAGATGTCTGGAACCTAGGATCCTACAGTGGAAAAAACATTGTACAAGAGAGTCAACTCAGAATATGGTGTTCCTGTTGACCTTGGACCCACGACAATTAGGCCACGTCCCTTCGTAGAATTAGTCCACTTGGCCTTGCTTTCTGGCCTTCATGGGCTTGGGGTCTGCGGCTAAAAGGCCGACGTATGGTCCCAAGATCTGCACAGGCCAGAAGCGAATGTGCGAGTTTCCTGCAGCCAAGTGTATCCAAAGAAACTAATGCGGTGCAACTGCGCCGTGGAAATGCAGCAACTGCTTTTCCAGTGAAGCAAGCTTTGTCCCTCAAAGGTGGCTTGTTCAGGACATCAGTTAGCCAGTACTGACAGCAGGCACTCCAGACGACAAAAGCTGTTTGCCCTGGAAATCCAAGCCATCCCTGAGGGCCACCCAACCGTTGCCCTGTAACTTCTGTCAGGCCTCTCATCGGAGGGCCAAAACCCACCTCGTCAGACGAGGAGAGCTCCTCTGATGTTTACAACTTAAAGAGTTCCTGATCTCAGGAGGAGCTGCAGGGATCAGCCACCTACTTTGTAGTTACATGACCTGAAGGACAATTTTTAGTTCTATTTCTCACCAAAGCTTCTTACTTCTTGAAGGCGAGCCCTGAATAGCTCTCTTCCAATGAGGTCATGCCTCTCGTCTGTGTTTCAGGATGTTACCAGTTGTGATGTGATCAAAAGGTGATACTTGCGTGTGTGAAGCTTGAAAGCTAGACCGCAAGGATAGGTGAGTTAGGGTTGCAATGGCGGCGTGTAACGACCCACTACATGTATTCTGCCATGGCCTTAGCATGATAGCTGCAATGAGACATTGAGAGGTCATGAAATGCATTGTAAGTACAAAGGCACAAAGGAGCGAATTGCAAATCTGATCAAAGCACGAAAGGAAGACGACATTGGGCATGTGACCCCTGAGATAAAGTTACTAGGAACAAGGGCATCGCTACTAGTAATAAGGGCAATTACTACTAGGAGCAAATAGCTACTAGTAACAAGGGCATCGCTACTAGGAGCAAGGACGCTACTAGGGGCTCCTGGCCTTACTACTAGGAGCAAATAGCTACTAGGCTGACCTTTTCACATCAAGGGACCCAAGTTGGCGCCGAGAGCCATGGATGCGCGGAGAAGCCGAGAGCAGCTGCTTGAGAAGCTTCATGGGAGCCTGGGATTGCAGTTATATAGAAGATCTGCTCGAAGATGGGAGATGCGTACTCTCAGTGGTTGCTGCCAAGGAATGCTGGGATAGGTACTCCTGTGGCTGGTACGAATGCTTTGGCCTGCTATCAGCAGCTCTACGCACTTTACTTTAGCGACCAGGACCGGCAGGGCTCCACTCTTGTTGATATATAAGTTTTCAATTTGTTGGGAAATAGTGACATCAACATGTCACTGGCCCAATTATTTTCTGTTCATGAATGCAAAGAAGTGCCTCAGGAGTATTTGGAGGCAGCCACTGTGGCATACTCTCTCTACTCTGCGCTGGACCGGTCTGTCAGGCAGAGCGGGACAACCCTGTAGGCTATGTTCAACTGACAGCATGCGGGGCATGCGGGGCATGCGGGGCATGCGGGGCATAGTAACAAGTGCATCGCTACTGGTAACAAGGGCAGTACTACTGGTTACTAGTAACAAGAAGCTACTAGTAGCCTTCGCTGCACGACAGCCGTCACATCGAGGCACAGCGGTGAGGCCCTGCCTGCCACGAGCTTTGCAGTTCCTTGGCGAAGATCAGCTGTGTCGGTTGAGAAGATGTTTGCCGGGTTACTCGTCTCACCGGTGGTGTTGCCAAGTGTGGAAGTCATTGAACAAGTTTTGAGCAGGGCGGAAAGTGTTTCAGTGTAGTAGAGTCTTTGACACTTGGCCTTCGAGGTGGTGCCGGTGTTGGAGCAGCAAAGGGCTGCCCTGTTGATGCTAATCAGTGCTTTGGTCAGCACAGCACCATGGAATCCACTGCTTTCTTGCTGAAGCATGGCCACATTTCCTGCCTCGGCCTTTGTTCAAATACTTCGAGGACCAGTTTCGTGACCCACCGAATCGGGTGACCCGAGGGAAAGAGAATTGAATCGGATGCTCACGGGATCTCAAAGGCGAAGAAGATGGCTAAGTATATAGATGATGCCGATGTCCAACGACCTCAGGTGCCTTGACCTTGACCCCTGAGCAGCAGCTGCTGATGCCTGGACCGACCAAGCCCAGCTTCTGCGCCATAGAGAGTGACGACCCTGCGGCCTTGCAGAGCTGGTTTCAGGTGCAGCTGTGCAGCTTCAGTGCGGATTTGAGAGAAACACGCACTGAAAGTAGAAAAAACACATGCGGCATCGAACTCTTCGTCCCTTCCACAGACTCCGAGACTCCGCAGCACCGGCAGTCAGGAGGCTGCCGAATGCACGCGGAGGGCGCAGGTGTCACTGCATGAGGCCCAGGCCATGCTGCTGGAGCTTGACGCCAAGTGCCGCTATGGTTGCAGGATGGTCAGGACGGGGGATGTTTGTACGGTGGAGACGTCGCCAAATCAACGGTTCCGGTGCTGAAAAGATTCGATATGTTTGACGCCTGGATGAAGTACGGATAGCATATGGGAGAAACCTCATGTTGTGCTGGAAAGTGAAACTTGAATTCTTGTCTTCCCCAGCTGAGCTGTGTTTCTGTCAGTTTTTGACAATTTTTTGGAGCCTTTTGACAAGTGGCCGAGGCAATCAAGAGCCTTTAATGGAGCCATGACGATCTCGTCGCTGACACGCGTTGTCAACCAAAAGGATCCCAGTGGTGCACCAGAATGAGACAGACCGATGAAACAGCGAATTTTCCAGGGCAAATAGCCATGAATTCCAGATCGTCATGCTGCTTGATTGTCAGTATGAGATCATTTTGTTTGGCAAGGCACAGGCAGTGGGTTTTTGATAACCCCGTGGCAAGGCTTTGTTTGCATGCCTTCAGGGTTTGGCTCAAGCCCCATGGCCAAGCCCACGCCCACCCTCTTCGCGATGCTTGGATGCAAGCCAGAAAGGCTTGATTTGTATGTGTGGGCCAAAGAGATAGATGCTGAAAGATCACTCAACTGCACTGGGTTGTTTCCCTCAGTACCTGTGCTTCCTCGAAACATTATTCTTCAAAAAGGAGTGATTTGTCAAAAGGCTTTTCTAGAGGCTTTCATTTTAGCTTCCTTGGCGAGGTGTTGTTCCTCACTGCATAGACATATATATATATATATACCTGGACTCACGAACATGGAAATGAAAACAGGCCCGCCTTGGTAAGGCTAGTTTGTTGCGAGCCAGAGTTTTCTGCTTGAATGTTTGCGAGAGGGGACTCTACAAGTACCTGCTGCTACGTTCTTTGTTTTGACTTCTGACATGTCACCTCCATCGTTGTTATATACCCAGTGACGCTTCCCTTGCCTTTGAGGTAGCGAACCAGAAAAAAGAGCCATGGCATTGGATGACTTCAGAACTCTGGTGACCAGGAGACCTGCTGAAAGGCTCTGAAAGGCTCTGAAAGCGGCTTTGACTTGCACATAACCTTTGGAGTTCCTGCATGCAAAGAATCCTTTTTTTCAGGAGCTCCTTTTGGGTATGGCAGCCCAGATTATTTTACCGACCAATGCTTTTTACAGAGTTGCTCAAGCAGGGATGATAAGGCAAAAGAAAGAGTTTGAATGCACCTTGCACAGATAGGACGTTCAATATCCAAGGCCTGATCCTTTTCCCAATGGCTGTCCTGCTGGATCCCAGAGTACCAAAGCCCTGCCAAGCTCGAAACAACATGCACAGCATATTTTTGGGTGCCAACCTTCCAGTAGCCATTCAATCAAAGTGGGCACATGAAGATCCGTCTTGAAAAGCTCCTTTGTCATTGAACCGAGCTATTCTAAGCCACATATGTCCTTGAAGCTGTGTCCTCAGGTGATTGTCCGGTGTTTGTGTTTCTTAGATCCGATCTGGGTGGTGATGATCTTGGCCTTTGTCTCAAGGAAACCTCTCTGGACTCGACTGCTGATACACTTCCGTTGAATTGCAGCATTGTGTTGTATCAAGAAAGTAAGGTTTCCCTAAAATCTAGGAACCAAATCATTAGTGCGTGGCCTATCCTGCTTCGGGTAGGTAGTAGCGTCATAGTAGCTAGCAGCTAGCAGAGCAGCTTGTTTACTCACTTAGTTAAGTAGGCAAGGGCGCACTATTTGTTTTTGGGATTGCGTTGTAGCATCTATGCATCACCTGCTGTGACCCCCCTGGTTTTGTCATTTTTTGACTAGGATTGAGTGTCACAGTTGCCGGCCTGGAAAAAACGCGGTCGATGCTTCATGTGGCCCTGAGATCTATGTTGTGCTGGCAGTGCACTTTGCTGAATGCCTCTTGATTCTCTCGAAGCTACCAGGCTCGGAGAGTTTTTGCGGACGGATAACCAATGTTTGTTATTCTTGGAGTTTCCAAAGAACTCGAAAGGTACTTCTCAATTGCCTTGCAAAAAAGAGATTGATGCACGACTTGCACACTCTCATCTCCTCCAGACTCCGCTCCATTTATTCTGTTTTGGTTCTTGCCAGGAGATGAGCCCTTCCGGGTGGTCGAGGGCTTTACCCTTTCTCAGCCATTGCAGTGGAGCCAGATGGCCTTTTGCCTTGCCAGCGCCCCTTGGCCCTGACGGTGTGCGAGGGACGGGTGACGGTGCGACGGGGGCCTTGAGAGGCTTTTCACAATCAGGATGCATCTTGATATCTTGAATGGGGTATTCCCGTTTTCCATTGTCCCTCCTATTCAAGGCCCCATTCTACAGAGATCTGTGCTGGGACAAGTATAAGATGTTCAATAGGTTGTTGCATGGATTGCCTGGGCTGAGGTCTTCTTCATTGTGCAGGCAAACGGGAAAAGACAGAGGTGTTGATGGTTTTCTATGGTTTCTCAGCTCAGAATAGGTTGCTTGTCAATGGACTGGGAGATGGCAGTTGTATATTTGTTATTATTCCCTATCTCTCTTTATCTCTATCTCTCTTTCGCCTGTCCAGTGAGAAGCGCTGTGTAGGCCTACATCGGAGCAGTCTACATGTTGGAGAGCCATTTGAGACTTGGAGTTTCACTCACATTGCACAAGGTCATCATGGCATCCACTTATTAGTTCATTTGCTCTGTGCGAAGCAACCAACCATAGCCATGCTTTCATCGTAGCATACGAAGCATTGTCACAACACAAGCTCAGGAACTTGTACTATTACTTTCTTGCTGGAACCTCGGGGGTTGATATGCCATGGGTTGGGGCGCACGTAGTCACCTACACCACGCGGTTGGCTGAAGGTTTTCAGCAAATGATAGGCTAAGCGGCGAGGCTTTGGCTAGAAAAAACCCTTCAGATAGTGTTGCAGGCACCAAGTGGGCTTGGTCTCAGTCATAGATCCTACCTAGTATGTCAGCAGTTTTGCTATGTCTGAGAGGGGAAGGCCCTCAAGAACTCTTCAGCACGGTCCATGCGCCTGAACTCTCGACTTGTGAACTTCGAGGTGGCTTCCATTTCGGTGGACATCGCCTTCCTTTTCGCCTTCATTTGGGCTTGGCTGAGTGCCCTGCCCTTTGCGATTTTCGTCGCTGGCAGCGTTGTGCGGGGAGCTCAGCTGACAAGCGCAGCCTGACAGTTGGGTAGAGATCTTCCCACGACGCAGCTTCAGCAGAGATGCATTGTTTTGGCCTTCATTTACTGATGCAGCTTTGCTGTTGCGCCCAGTTGTACATTGAGCCACCTTGCAGTGCATGTATAAACCATCAGTGTTAACGATGACCTTGACATTTAACCTATGTGAAATTGTTAGGATTGTGCAGATTGATCGAGGAAAAATCACCCAGGTGTTCAAAAAGGAAGACAGTTTATTTTTATCTAAGTGCATTTCTTTCGTTCACTTTGTCGCCAGAAGTGAAGTGAAGCTTGAGTTGTTCCTTTTGCCAGACTGGGATATGTTTCCCAGGTTCAAGCTGACAGCGCTATACATCACGTCAAAGTATTCCAAGCTGGTTAGGAGACTTCAAGCCGTTTGAGCTTACTTGTAGTTATACAGGAGATGCGTGTGCAGCGTGCTTGCACACATGTCACGGGCCGCATGACACCCAACAACATGACTTCGTTTTTGCAAATGGTTTGAGTCTCCTGCTCCAGGAGCCAATACAATGTGTCTTAGCAGCACCTAAGCCTAGGTAGAAGCTTCCCTCCTGATGTCATCAAGCATGTTGCTCTGGCCCAAACAACTAGTCCCATAAACTGCCAGCGTGCTGGGCCTAGAATCCTCTTCTGCACTGGCACATTTGAAAGCGCTTTTTCAGACACCTGGCCTAGACCTGTCGAGCAGCGTCGGCGCAGTTTCTCTAGGCAGAGCTGCTACCGCATCTGAAGAGCGCCTTGGGGCGGTCTTTCAATGCACCTCAGTGGGGTGCCTCACATGGCGCGCAAAAACCAAGACGTTTTGGCTCCATGCGGCGCATGCGCATGCCCTGAGGTTTCAACCCGCGCCGCGCGTGGCATCGATGCAGGTGAAGATTTGCGTTCACGGGAAAGCTCGGTTTCGCTTATCCTGTCTTGATGCAATTCCATTCAGATTAGTGAAGTGCTTTTTCAGCCTTGGCAGATCGACCAATTCTTGAGGAAGCATTTATTCGAGTTGAAATCAAAGGGTTGCGGGATTCGATTCGTACTGTTCTTGATCTGCCCGGGATTCGATTCGTACTGTTCTTGACCTGCCCTTCGAAGGGTTCATGTCTTGCCATTTCAAATCCAGGAGCGCCCCTCACCGGAGTACGATGGTGGGCAGAAGGCGGGGAACACTTCCTGTGACACGTTCGTTCTGGCCAAGTCCCCGTACCTATAGCAGTGGGTTAACATATCTTAACATACTATCCGATGTGCCTGGTGGGTGCGAGACTTGCAGTTGGAGCATCTCGTCCGCTGGGAAGAGATGTTACGCCCTGACATCCAGGCCTATCAGACGATGCCTGAGGCGTCACTTGCTGGGGGTGATTTCATCAGCCTGGTTTTTGTCGCTGACCAGCAAACATGCCTGCAGTCTACCATGAAGCGCAATATTTTTTTGTACCGTCTTGATTCCATACTGTAGGACTGTAGGAAATTGGAAGGGAAATCTGTTCTTCCGAATGTCCTCGTAACCTGGCTCACTTGGCACTTTCATTGCTCTTTCGGTCTCATCAGCAAAGCATTCGATCTATTCCGCGCACGCCTTGGTCCTTTCTGCGCCAGTTCCGCCAATCTCCTTCACGCCTCGTGAGGGTTGTTCAGTGAGCAATTTGAGAGCAAGATGCACCCCAAGCACTGGGCACTTGGGCACTTTGCTGGCTTCAGGTAGCAATTGGTTCTGCGTGTGTTTGAAAGATGCCATTCTGAAGTAATAAAGTCCAGCACTGGCACTCTGTCGCAGGAGAAAAGGTGCGGTTATATTGCCATTTGCACCCCCGTTGTTCTATTGGAACAGAGGCACTCAAGTGCTTGCTCCCAAGCGTGGCAATGGCAGAGCAAGCCTAGGCCAAATTCAATGAATTATGAATTCTTTGGATCAAACTCAGGGGCTTTACTGTCTCAGCTCGGAGGAGAGAGAAAAAGGTCCAGGGGCAGTGCTGAAGTATTTGGAAGTATTTGCACAGTCTGCGGCGGCATGTCATGGTTCACAGATCACAAGCATCACAGAGCTTCACAACTTGGTTTGGCTGTCAAGCAGCCTTCACACTTTTCAGCGATTCCCCGCGTGAATTTGGCAATCTTGGCATGCCGCAGTTTGGATCAGCGCTTCCTATCGGTTCGGGAGCACTAGCAGTCGAGGCTGGACCCTCCGACAGTGTCCAAGCATTCTGTAAAGTTACTAGATGTGCCTCTTTGCCCAGTGGATGTGACGAAGCCCTGCCAAATCTTCAGTGAATTGTGGCCGCATAGCACCGTTGATCCTCCATGATTCACGGAGGCAGCATGGCAAAGGCTGATTTGGCAGCTTGACCTCTCTTAGCCAGTTCTCCATGCATCCTTGCCAGCAGCCCTTGCTTTGACTCAAAAAAAACCACTACCGACGCAGCACTGTTTGTTTTGCTGTAGAGTCTATAGAGCTTTGCTCTGTTGTTTCACAGCCACTTTGCAGATTCAATCAAGTATAGACATATTCCTACGTCTATACCCTATGCGACATTCCATTGCTGTTTCTCTTTTGACTTTTGTTGCAAAGATCGAACAACACAGAAATACAAGTTCCAATCATATCCCAAACCCAAGTTGCGAGTAGGTCAACAGGCCCAGACAAGATATCCGAAGGGTCTTAAGGTCAGATGAGGTCAGGATATTTTACTTGTGAATCATTACAAGATCAGCGATTTGACAATGATTCTGTCGGTGGTCTTTTTGTACCCCCAGCAATGCAAGTTTTCTTCGTTTGACCATTGACCATGTCGCTGAGGTGCCCTATGTGAACACCTGGTTCTGGCCATCCTTCACCTTGGTTGGCACATCCTCTCTCTTCTTCGGTGCCTCTGCCAAGCCGGGTCAGCGGGTACCTGCACTCTTGATGGCCTTTCAAGCAGTCAAACAGAAGGAACCAACCAAGCAACCAAGCCTGCCATATCATTTTTTGCCCATTTTTGTGGCGACACGCTCCATCGTCCGGAGCTTTGAGTTCAGCCAGCAGAGATGGTAGAAAGAGGTTGCACTTGTCCAAGTGACGCCCAAGTCTTGGTCTTGACTGGTGAACTGCGGTTAAGCCGACGATCATGTTGCTTGCTATTCTTGACGCATGTTTGACGCATGCTCAAGGTATCTACATCGGGAAGATCACGAACTCACACGAGTGGAAGGAGATCTTTTTGGACTACTGCCATCACAAGAGGACTTCGTATTCGCTGGGACCTTACTTTGAGACGTTGATTCTTCTGGCAGCACAGCCATGGTCTCTGGACTGTTGAGCTGTGTTTTGGGTTGCAAAATGTGTCACCTCGAATGGGAACTAAGATGAACACTTAGCAGGGTCGATTTGCTGAAGGCCGAACCCTTTGGACAAGGTGGCACGTGCTGTGTTGAACTTGCTGCGCATTGCCCCGAAGTGAGCCGGACATGCGGCCCAGCATGGTTTAGCTTTAAATCCAAGGGGCGTACCCTACGAACGAGCCGCATCAGCGAAAAGATAGCTTTGCGATCTGAGAACTTCAGAAATAGACAGGGAGAGATCCACGGATTCAAAGAGACAGCAACTGGCAATAACTGTTCTCATGAACTTGAAGTCAAGACTGCTTGAGTTAAGAGGTTGGTTTGAGCCTTTTGCATCCTTTTGTACAGAACATGATTGTTGACGAATCACGAAGGAGTATCAAAGAACGTGTTCTCCACACCCGCAGATCGAGCGCAGACCGCAGATCGAAGAGAATCCCTGACTCACATCACAGCACCAGAGCTCTCATTCTTTGCCAAGAGCGGACTTTTTGGTTCAATTTCTGGTCCCCAGCCACTGGCAAGGCGGGAGAAGACCTGACCCCTTTTTGCCTTTTGTGGAGCCAATATAGACGGCCTTGGGCCTTGGACACTGGTTGAAAGAGTTTGGAGCGCAGAGTTCATAATCCACCTCACGTACAGGCTTGTGGCTGAGTAGGCATCCAACACTTCCAGTTTGGCTGTTGAAATCGTTTGATCCAGGCACGGCCGATCATGGCCAAGGACAGCCTGGCTGTTGCCTCAGCGGATCCACTGCCTGGCACAAGCCCTGTGCCTCCGTAAGGAGGTTGTCAGAGTGCTGAGGTGCCCTATGTGAACACCTGGTTCTGGCCATCCTTCACCTTGGTTGGCACATCCTCTCTCTTCTTCGGTGCCTCTGCCAAGCCGGGTCAGCGGGTACCTGCACTCTTGATGGCCTTTCAAGCAGTCAAACAGAAGGAACCAACCAAGCAACCAAGCCTGCCATATCATTTTTTTGCCCATTTTTGTGGCGACACGCTCCATCGTCCGGAGCTTTGAGTTCAGCCAGCAGAGATGGTAGAAAGAGGTTGCACTTGTCCAAGTGACGCCCAAGTCTTGGTCTTGACTGGTGAACTGCGGTTAAGCCGACGATCATGTTGCTTGCTATTCTTGACGCATGTTTGACGCATGCTCAAGGTATCTACATCGGGAAGATCACGAACTCACACGAGTGGAAGGAGATCTTTTTGGACTACTGCCATCACAAGAGGACTTCGTATTCGCTGGGAGCCCCCAGAATCTATCCAGTTCACCCAGATCGCTTGAGAATGGATCCTCCAAAATACCTGGCAAAACTCTCTGAGGCCCAATCCTTTTGTCCAATCTGAGGCCCAATCCTCTGGACAAGGTCGCCCGGTGTGTGATGAGATTTCTGCGCATCGTTCCGAAGTGAGGCGACGACGAGACGACGCACGTCGTCAGGGGTCGCGGTGAAGACCGGATGGGCGAACGATGAAACGGTGAAGCCAAAAAGAGGCGAACGATGGCGAAAAGAGGGTGTTTGGAGACGGTGAGGTTTCTGGCATTTTCATTTTTCAGTAGTATGATCATGCCAGAAAGAGCAGAAAGATCGCTACCGATGCTGAGCAAATGACTCAGATAATCCCAGATACCTGTTGTGCCATCGGATTCCTTGTTTGTTGATGCCCAGGCCTGTTCATGACACGGAGACATAAGGATATTAAGCTCTGCGATCATGTGCAAACGCAAGGCCTGCGACCAAGCGCGAAGAGATGTGAGAGGGGCCACACGAAAATGGAGATGATGTTGATTTGTGATCTAAAAGAGCAGCGTGTATGAAGCTATATATATATATATACATTAGCAGGTACAGGACAGCTGTGCATTTCTGTGGATTGGCAGATGAATCTCATAGCCTCCATCCTTGTTTCTTTCTTCATAATGCTTAAGTGATGGTAGACATCCCATAGCTCTTTCAAGAGAGAGAGAGGGCAATTCGAAGATCATCTTGACCTGCGCACTATCAAACCTCTTAGTCAGCCACCTCTCAACATTTGGCTCAGGCTGACGAAGTGATGTAAGCGCTTCTCTTCACAGCGATATAGCTATGGCTATGGTTAAAAAAGAGTCCCACGGGTACAGGAAAACCTGACCAAAACTGCAGGTTTCTGTCTCGTTCCTTTTTGAAGCACATCGCTTTCCATTGGGTTACATAGGTTCAGCCTGGAGACATGCTTCCGCAGTTGATACTTTGGCATGGTTACTTAACTCCGTTGGAGCATGGCAAGCCTGGCACGCAGGCCTCAAAGTGCACACCCTGGCAAGGCCTGGAGCAGCATGGCCAATATGCTGCCAGCCAGGAGACAGCACAGTTAGAAAGTTTTGTTGGAGACCGGGAAGATCAAGAACATGCCAAGCATCTGACACAAAGCAGGATCCGAATTGTGAGTGGCGCGCAGAGTTGGTGCCAGGGCAGTGGTCTGTGTGGAAGAGGTGTGGCCAGAGCACAAGAAATGCAGTATATAAAGAAGTGGGAGAATTTTCAAGTGAAGACCGTGTCAGCCTCAGTCAACACTCTGACACAGTCATGCCAGGGTCACAGGGTCCCTGGGGGCCTTTGTCAGCGCTTGTAATGTCACTCGGTGAGGAGAGTTTTGGAACGAGTTCGATGCTGTTTCGGCGTGGAAAGTTCGGTTGGGTTCCGTTGTTTTTGATATCAGGTTGAGGGTCATCAGAACGCCACGCGAAGGTTTCGAAGGCAGTTCCATTTGGAATGGACGGCTGCCTCCCAAGTATATGTGGGCCTTTATAGGGTAGCTGGTGGAATGGACAGACCGCCTGACTTCTTAAGCACAAGGTCCAAGCTAAGGACAAGGGCCAAGGGCGTCTTTGTTCAATTGAACATGAGACTTGAATCGGACCTGATAGCATTTTGCTGTTCTTTGTCCCAGGTGTACTTCTGGTGCCTTGCTGCGGCGAGGAGTGCAGGCAAGGGATGAATTTTGAGAAGAACAAACTAACTGGGCTGATAACTGCTGCTTGGTGTGGAGGAAGCTTGGAAAAGAACACATGCCTTCAGGTTCTCACATCAAGATAGTGAAGCCTGGTGGACTGTAGTTCTATTTTGTTTTCAATCCACGGAGCAGTGCAGGTCCGCGCGAAGCGGATCTTCGCGTTCACTGGACTGAAGGGCGGTCTGAGACCGCAAAGCCCCGCCTCGGCGGATCTAGGCGTGGAAGCCCTTTTTACCTGATCTGGACATGGTAACATGTCAACCCAGACATGAGAAACTTGTCAGAGGAAGCTCATCAAAATGTAGAGAGCCTCCAATCACTGGTCCTTGCTGATGGGTCTCTTTAGCCTTTCTGCAAGGCTTTCTGATGGGCCTCCAGGGCACCGAGCAAGACCAAGTCTTGGTGGAGCCCTACCATGCGGATGAAGGCCTGGGTCTGATCTGCATTTTGGGAGCTCGGTGTGGATTCTGGTTGTCACGTTTCTGGTTCTGCACAGACTGAATGTGGCTGGCTCCGACTTTAGGAGAAGTCGCTTGTGGATTCGCGGTGTGATGTTCGCAAGTTACGGTTGCTTCGGTGGCGTTGAGCGATGAATTCTTCTGTTGAGTTGCAACGAGCCGCTGGCGGCAATCGGTTTCGACCTTGCACCTTGGACCGCGACTTGTTGCGTCTCCGACTCCAACACATTGGTGAAATATCACCTGCTTGATATACAATATTTTCTGAGCGGGGTACCGAACATCTGTCTTCAGAAGTCAGTTGACCGCTAGAGTCGATGACACTCGGAGGTGCCCTACTGCTGGCAGCTGAGCAGCGGCGCACAGCGCTGGCTGCCTGGGGCTTTGGGGGTGATGAAGGGCTGCCGGAGGCAGCTTGGGGAGTGAAGGGCTTCGAAGGGCCTCTGCAGAGGGTCCACGATTTTTAGATTCTGCAGAATGCAGCATATTATTTTTGTAGGGAGAAGAGTTTCGTGGCCTCAATCGGTGTGCTCTTTGGAATGTTTAGTCTTGATGATCAGCTTCTTTTCCTTCTTACACCACGCAAAGAATTTTTTGTAATATATATATATTTCTTTAAGACAGCTATTGTGAGGATTGGGAAAAAAAGAGCACGGCAAAGTGGTGGAGGAGAACTTGGTGATGAGGTCACACAATTCCCGAACCATGTGTGGGGACTTCATGCCAAATTCTTTCAGCTATCAATATATTTTCCTGAATCCATTTGACGAGGTGGTGGACCTTGCAGGGGCCTGGAGACGCGATCGCAGAGCAGAAGACTGGGAGCTTTACTGTTGGTCGCCAGAGCTGCTGCGTGAGCCACTGGGACACGTTGAAGTGCTCAGGAGGGTCTACTAGTAGTAGAACCAGCTCAATCTTGAAATGTCAAAGCAATCCACGCAGTGACTGGTGAATGAGAGCCAGAGGCATTGACAGTGCAGAGCTTCACTGCTGGGTCCACAGCACTGCTGTTCAAGGCTGCTTTGTGCGCACCTTGATCCAAGGCTGCGGCATTCCATGGACTTTCCAGTGGAGCTCCATGGCAAGAAATGGGCTGCAAGCTGTGCTGCACGGTGGCGCCAGGACTTTGGGAGTCGGGGTTGTTCAAAAGATTAGACGATTAGACACCGCTTCACCTGCCTGTTTGGGTCTTTTGAATTACTTAGGTAGCTTCGGGGCAAGCGGCATTCAGACTTGTATGTACTTTATCCCGAGTGTGTGTGTGTGTGTGTGAAACCGAATCTTCGATTGTGTATTGTCTTCTTTTGACTTTTAATTTGGCCGGGGCATGGAGAGGGCGTATGAGGCTTCATCCAACGAAGCTCCTCATACGCTCCTAGGATATCATCAGGGATGCCTGATGACGTACCTGATTCAGTGATGACTTTCGCTTCCCACTGGGCCCGTTTTAACTACAACAAGAGTGCCAGCCATTGCAGCGGTTCACCATTCTGCAGATGAGAGCGATCGTCGTCACTTCGCCTTATGGATTCCGATTTTTGGCCTCCTAATGACTACCAATGATCAGACCCCTTACATGATCTTCTCAGGAATATGGTTACCTAAGGTCGCCGTGTGGGGAGTGGCTTTCAACTCTCAGTACGCAATATCTCGAGTGTGTCTGGCTTCATGCCAGCCCAGGGTGTACCCGAAGAGTGTCCCTGTGGCCCCGTTGAACGAGGGTTTGTCCATGTTCGCCGGCTTGGGAACGTAGGTGTCTGGAGCGGACAGTAGGAGGCTTAAGCCAAAGCTACTTGCCAACCTGACGAATTATTGAATGCGAGCAGGCAGCCTTCAGGCACGCCAGAACGTGTCCGCGGCGGACTAGAGCAGGCTTTATGCCACGAGGTGGTCGCAGCGACCAAAGCTTGTTCAAGACCCAGTGGGGTCTGTCGGAGCCTTTGGTGCACATACAGTATGCGCATAAACCAGGCTACTTCCACCTAGGTTCGTTCTAATCAGGTGCGGTTTCGTTTTTCCAGCCCCTTCAGTTTCCCTGCAAAGAGTCGTCTTGATAAGCTCGAGAACGAGCACTTTTCCTTCCTGTTCCACCGGGAGTCGGCAATCACAGGGTGCTCGCTTACCGCTGATCGCTTGTGTGCAGCAGGGCTACTTGAGGCCTCCGATTGTCGTTTTTGCGGCAAAGCAAACGTGATTTGTGCCGAATGTTAAGAGGCGCTTCGAACTCTGTTGCTGTACAAAGAAGCTGTGTTTGTACAACACCAGCGCCTTGCAAAGTTGAACAAATACTTCTCCAGCTTGTCTCCCAAGCAGAAAAAAGAAATATCACCTGATCCTGTGATTGAAGAAGCTGACCCTCGTGTGCTTTGTCCACAATGGTCATGGAATGCTGTACTGTCCCTGTACACTTGGCAGGCAGAATTTGACGACTATATCGTATTCAATACAAGAGGTTCTCTCAAGCCTGGGAACTTTCAATTGTTTGTTCGTTTCTGTTCGTGGGCTGCGGTGGTCGCAAGGTGAAGGCAAATCCACTTCCATCTTTGAGCCTTTGAGCTTGCCATCTTTGCCTTCTACTTGAAAGTGCATTTTGCCATTGACAGTCCTGACGTTGCTTCACCTGCTTCCTTTGCCAGGATTTTGCAGAGTTTTTTTTGCTTTCTGCAAAAAGTGCGCCTTTTCGGTTGCTCCTGTCTGCATCGAATATAAGAACAAGAGTAATGGTAAGTGCTTCCCTAAGGGGACTTTCGTTGGTGCTGAGGTTTACATGCCTCCGGATGCCTTGTTGTTGGTGCTTCATGCTTTTCGGAAAGGAGCCAAAGAGTCTCCTAAGACGTGGTCTATGCCCTTTGATACGTTGTGTTAAAGGGCACGGTGTGAACTTGGCCTTGCCCCCTTGGCCGCTGAACTTCGTCAGCGCGACAGCCAAAATTGGTTCCCCCCTTTCATCCTTTCTTTCTTCTCACACACTTTCTTTTTCCCCAAGCAGTTTACTGTTGGGGTTCTATCAGCTGGCCACACTCACTGGCCGCGCCCCTGAACTCTGTGGCTGGGCTCTGTGGCTGGGCCTTGTCCTCCTCTTGGCCGCGCCTGAACTCTATCAACTCTGTGGCCGGGCTCTGTGGCTGGGCCTTGTCCTCCTCTTGTCCTCCTCTTGGCCGGCTCTGTGGCTGGGCCTTGTCCTCCTCTTGTCCCCCTCTTCGCTGCGCCCCTGAACTCTGTCAACTCTGTGGCTGGGCTCTGTGGCTCTGTGGCTGGGCCTTGTCCTCCTCTTGTCATCCTCTTGCCCACCTCTTGTCTTCCTCTTGTCCTCCTCGTGGCCGCCCCTGAACTCGTCAACTCTGTGGCTGGGCTCTGTGTCCAGGCCTGTTGTCCTTCTCTTGGCCGCGCCCCTGAACTTTGTCAACCTCTGTGTCCAGGCCTTGTCCTCCTCTTGTCCTCCTCTTGGCCGCGCCTGTGTGGGCTCTGTGCCCAGGCCTTGTCCTCCTCTTGTCCTTCCTTGGCCGCGCCCCTGAACTCTGTCAACTCTGTGGCTGGGCTCTGTGGCCATGTCCTCCTCTTGGCCGCGCCCCTGAACTCTGTCAACTCTGTGGCTGTGCTGGGCTCGATCAGAGCGCGCTCTACAGAGAGAAAGACAGAGAAAGATAAACTTAAAGAGAGAGAGAGAGAGAGACAGAGAGAGAGAGAGAGAGAGAGAAAGAGAGCGCGGGAGGGAGAGAGGAGAGAGAAAGAAAGAAAGAAAAAAAGAAAGAAAGAAAGAAAGAAAGAAAGAAAGAAAGAAAGAAAGAAA